TACGTAGTGAGGACGTAAAATTATTAACAAGATAATCGACCTGTGTTGGGACAGCGAGACCTTGAAGTAGCATTCAGGTAGCTGCTCTGCTCTGTGTTGGTACAGGGCATTGAAGATGATAACACACTGTAAAATTTAATTAGTTCACAGAACGCTAAAAAAACTATGCAAACTCTTTGCCTCAAAAAAATTCAATAAAGTTTACTTAAGATGACTAAGTTAGGGCAACTTATTCACTTTGACTACACTGTGCAAAACCTATTTAGTTTCCAGAACTCAAAAACACTATGCAAACTCGTTGCCTAAAAAAACTAAGCAAAGCTTACTTAAGATGCCTGTTAGGACAACTTATACAGTATTTGGAATAACTTGATATTTCTGACTGTGCAATACTAATTGTTTACCCACTGACAAACATTTCAATTTGTGGTAACCTGATTATGAGTAAAAAATATAATTAACAACACTTTTTGTAATGATGTTACAATCAGCCTAACTTTTATTTTCAAATGTAAAAAAAAAGTATAACAGCCAACATACTGGACACTGTTCTCTTGAACAACAATTATACTGTCATTACTGACAATGAAACAAAGTCTCAGATTTAATTATTCTGAAACTAAGTTTAGGCTTTCCACAACTTTGTTTTGTACTTACATTACTTATATAATCAAAATAAAATGTATTTATTGTTCAGTCAAAAGTGCAGTCTCTAGTTTAAACAACACATTTGTTTTGCATTCAAACACAGGAGTTTGGTATGTTGTAATATTTTAAGGATGGCTTGTTTCCAGTCCAGGCATTGCTGCCTGAATGACTGCCATGGATCGAGGTGATCCAAATGTAAGTGAAGAAGAAGGTCTTTAAATTCCCTTAAGTACAGTGGCAGTGGATGTGGGTCGGAGATGCAATGAGCTTGAACCTGCAGGTGACCATCTTCACTGACCACACCATCTGTGACGGAGGACTCATCTCTCCTGGTGTCCTGCAAGCAAACAATCAGATTTTTTGGAACACCAACTTATTTGCTTTCTTCAAACAGTTTTTTCTGCATTTGCTGCAGAACAGACCCCAATTTAGACAATCTCAGGCACCCTCCCCACCCAATAGTGATGTGTCGGTCGCGAACGAAACAGTTCTTAGAGCCAGATCTTTGAAGTGAACGACGCGAGTCTGGGTTGTTGTTTTTTTTTTCCCCCCCTTTCTCTCACCCTCTCTCTCGCACTTTTTTT